AATGTAGCCCTCCACATTGCATTGTAAGTGCTGAATAAGTAATTGCTGAATGAGTGATTTCCATATTATAAACAATATATGTAAATGGTAGAGGCAGGGCTTTACTGTCCATCCATTAAGTATCAACGTAAGAAAAATATTCCTCATTTGATAATTGTCTAGAGAGATGAAATAGCAGTTAAGACCAAAGATCCACAAAGTTATTTCTCTTAACGCTACTCCCATCTAATATTTTCTTGCTTCTGATATTAAGGGAGCCCAGCAATTGATGTTTTAATAATTATTTCCAAAAATGCATTAAATTGCTTTCCAAGTCACGAAAGTGAGGCTTTCATTTTTTTGTTATTATTTTTGAGTAACAATAAGTAGTTTATCCAATATCAGCTGCTGGTTTTACATAACATATTGTTAAGATAACATATTTATTATAGAATAATTAGAAAATACAGGGAATCAAATAGCAGAAAATCAAAATTATCTGTAATTTTATTTTCTAACACACCATTTTCTGAATTTTGGGGAGTTTTTTGGGGATTTTTTAATATCTGAAATATTATACTAACTACTTTGTAACCTGCAGTTTTCTAACTACGTAATACTACAATCATTTTTACATAAATATTTATACTAATTACAAAATAATATTAAATATTCCCTCTGTGGATCGATGATCAATGCAGCATCATTTAATGGACCAATCTCTAGTGGGTATCTAAGCTAGTTATTTCCTGTCTCTCACTATTATAAACGCTCTTGCAGTAAACCTTGGTAGTGATTAGGATTAGGGGTGTGTGTGTGTGTGTGTGTGTGTGTGTGTGTGTGTGTGTGTGGCCTAAAACACATACAAGTGGTTTATATCAGGTAAAATCAGTTTATCTCTCTCTCACATGGAGGAGGCTCAAAGGTAGGTGCTCCAGGATTTAATGGTACTCAGCAGTATTAGGAAGTCAGGTTCCATGTATCTTGTTGCTCTCCTTTGCAGAGTGTCTGTTCCCAAGGTCTTATCTTGGTCAAGGGTGGTTCTGGGGGGCTAGTTATTCAGTTACTGTTCTCCCCAGGAGGAAGGAGAGTCAGGGTGTGGGAGTAGTGAGAAAAAGTTTGACCATATACCTTGGGTAAATTTTCTTCTTGGGAAACTTCAAAAACTACCGAAAACTCCTTAAAAAGTATTATTTTTCATGCAGGTAAATCATTTGAGAGGAGGGTGGTGAGAAATCTGACCCTCATAAAATGCTATTGGCAGAAATGTCTTCCAGAATAAAAAAGCTTTGTTTTCTAAAGCACATTATACACATTCAAACCTACTCTTCCCTACTCTTTGCACTGAGCCAGCTACTTGAGCCAGAGTCTATGTGCGTTTATTTTAGTCTATATCACATGTTAAAATAAAAACCTGGAGTCACGTTTCTGTGCATTTCAAGGGATCCAATACATATCCACTCAAATGAAGTTGTTTTCTTTATCCTTTTTGGATTGGGAGCGTGTACCTAACATCTTCTGAGGAGATGGCGTATTCTGTGGCTGGTAAATGCTACAGTTGCCCCATTTGTCAGAAAATAACACTGGGCATCAGTCAACATGAAAGAATCAGCAAAAGGAAGGGTGAAGGATGCAAAATTGGTATTAGTATTGGAGTGGTGTATGAGTCTAGGCCTATGTATGATGTCAGCTTCGAAGACATGCAAACGCTACCAGAAATACAGGAGCTTTAGGGTTTTTAGTCATTTCTTTAGAATGGCTCAGTTATTTTTCTAAGGAATAATGATGTAGGAGCATTAGAAATGAACTGTGAATAGTACAACTTTAGCAGGAATAGAATGAACATAGAATGGAGCTTCAGTGAAGGAGGAAACAGTGCCAAGTGTCAACAGAACATAAATAGTTATAGAAGAAAGTGTATGGCTTTGGGAAAAACTGACACTGTGGCAGGCAATCCAAATACAAGTTACAAAGTAGACTGTGTTGTTTTACTCTAGTGTGGAACTAGAACTCTTACCATTTCATGTAAGTCCATCTCCTGAAGGATTTACAAATAATGTGTTGCAAATAATTGCTGAACTCTTGGGACTGTCTGAGATTAAGGAATGTTTTTAAGTTACCCCATATTTATGCAAAACAGAGGTTTCTTGAACTCTGGGCAATTTTAAAAGAATAAAAACAAACTGGTACAGGTTTGTATATTTGGCTCATAATAGATTTGCAGTAAAATAGGATGAAGACCTAAAACCTTAAAACCAATTATATGAGATTCGGTGGATGGAATGTGGAAAGAGGGACCATGAAGGGTTTTTTATAAAATATTTGAAGAATTGAAAGGTTTCATGGGGAGCAGACACAGTTTTCTATATGAGCTCACTCAGGTAGAGCAAGGACCAGTGGGTGTTAGCTCCAGTAAGATAAGATTTTTTTTCTTTTAATTCAGTATAGCGACTTTTCTAACATTCAGAGCAATTCAAATTTAGATTAGGGTAGTTGAAGAGAAAAGCTATTAAAGATCCACAATAAAACAGTAGGAAGTCGTTTTTAAAAAACTATACCACTTATAATAGCAACAGAAAACATCACACACACAAAAATAAATTTAACAAAAGATATGCAAGACCTCTACATGAAAATAACAAAACATTGAAGAGGGGTATTTTAAGATCCAAAGAAATGGAGAGAGATACCTTGTTCTTGGATTGAAAGGCTTGATATTGTGAAGATGTTATCTCTCACCAAATTGATGTATATTCAGTGGTTATCCCAGTGTAAATCCTAGCATTTTTTTTAACAAGCAGATCCTAAAGTTGGAAATGCAAAGGGGTGATGATAGTCAAGGAGTCTTGAAGAAGACCTAGATCACAGATATCAGTACACTCATAAAATGAGAGTAATTAAAGCCTGTGGGTCGGTGTGAAGAGACCAGTGGAACAGAAGAGAATATTTGAAAACACATTCAGATTTATTTTTAAGCCGGCACTGCAGTACAGCAGGGAAAGGATGGTTGGTCTTTTTCATTAAATCATGGTTGGGCAATTAGAAATCCATGTGGGGAAAAAACATGAATATTGATCTTTACCTCATACCATACACAAAAATAAATTTCAGATGGATTGTGATCTCAACGTGAAAGGTAAAACATAAAGTGTTCAGAGGAAAACAGAGGAGGCTATCTTCAGGACCTTGGGGTAAGCAAAGATTTCTCAAAGATTTCTTCAAAAGTGCTATCCCTAAAAGAAAAAATTAATAAATTTTACTACAGTTAAGAACTTCTGTTTATCAAAAGACCTTTTTAAGAGAGTAAAAAGAAGACACAGAGGGGGAGGAGATATAAGTAATACATATTTTCAAGAAAGGACTCTTACCCAGAGTGTATATATATATATAGATAGATAGATAGATAGATAGATAGATAGATAGATAGATAACTTCTACAAATCAGTAAGAAAAAGGCAAGATGACCTGATGGAAAAATGGGCATAAAATAGATAAGTACTTCACAAAAGAGGTTCTCCATATGACCGATGAACATAGAAAAAGATTGTCAACTTTGTCATCAGACAAATGCAGTTGTAACCACAATATGATGCCATGACACCTGCACCAAAAGGGTTACATTGAGCAAGATAGACAGTACCACATGCTGATTAGAACATGTATGGAGCATTTGGAACACTTATGCTGTTAGTAGGTGTGTACTACACAGCTGTTTTGGAAAACTGGTGGAATTTGCTGAGGCTGAATGTGCACAAACGTTATAACCACAAAGTCCCACTCTTCAGTATGTATGCAACAGAAAGGCATACATATATTCAAGAAAAGATATGTACAAGAGCGTTCATAGCAACACTGTCGGTCTTAGCCAAAACTTAAAAACAACTCAAATGTCCATCAGCTCCAAATTAATTGTGAAATATTCATAACAATGAAAAACCACACAGCAAATAGCAGGTGAGCTACAACTACATACAGCAATGTGGATGAATCACACAGACACTATTGAGAGAAAGAAGCCAGATACCAAGTTTCCATCAAACTTACAGTTCAGAACCAGGGCAAAAGAAGCGATGGTGTTGGAAGTCAGGGAAGTGGTTTCCTTGCTGGGTGGGGTGTGATTGGAGGGGGTTCTAGGTGTGCTGCCACCTTCAGTTCCTAGCTGAGCTGGTGGGCAGAGCGGAGAGTAAGTGTGGGGAGGTGCCTTCTTCTGATGGGCTTTGAGTAAGTAGTTTTCAGAAAAGATTTCCGTTCTAAAGGATCCGATCTTACGGAGATAATGATGGACAAACTCTAAGTCAAGAGTCCCAAGGACAAAAAAAAAAAACGTGCTAGAAAACAGCTGTTTTAGAAGAGCAGCAGGTAAACTAGGTTTGGATTCAGAACTAGCAGATAAATAGAATATTCTGTAGTTTGAACTTTGATCTTCACAAATGAAGAATGGCAAAAGCATTTGCCTTTATGCTATTTTATTTTTATTTCAATAATTTCATATCCCCTTTCAAAAAAAATACGTTGGCTATTTTAAAAATCGATGTGATTAGTAAATCGAAGTTGGAAGAACGAAACAGGGCTGAAGTAAAAGGAGAGAACAGGTATGGTAACTACAGGGTAAACACAGCAGCTGGACTTGAGCATGCAACTTGGCTCTTACTTTTAGGACATCCAAAGCCAAAAGGGAACCAAATATAATTTCGTAGGGTGAGAGTTATTTTCCTTGTCACTAAAGCTCGGGGGCAGATTTCTTATCTGAAGCATTAAAGAGGGAACGTCGAATGGTGTAATGATGCATGTCTTCAGTGATGGGTGATGTGGCAAACATGTCAGTTGAACTTTAGGTTGTTTCTTATGGTGACTTTCAGTAAAGATGAACGAGAGTGTAATCATCCAATGAATGTAATGTTGAACCAATGCTTTACCTTGCTTCCATGCTACTCATTGTTTGGGGGCAACACATGGCATTGGGGGGGGGCTTTTTTGGCTGCTTTTCAGAGAGTGAATTCCTGATTGTTTCTGTCAACCAGGTGCCCGGGAAGAACCCAGCGTACAGCAGGCACAGCGGCGGTCGGCGGTCTTTCTGTCCTTTAAGTCCCCGATTCCATGTCTGCCCTTGCGCTGGGAGCAGCAGAGCAAACTTCTCCCAACTGTAGCCGGCATCCCTGCCAGTAAAGTTTCCAAATGGAGCACAGATGAGGTATATTTTATTTTCTTGGTCTGCCAGGGGCCAGACGTAGGAGTACTGACTTAAGGAGAGGGCAACATGAATGCATGTGGGATTGAGTCTTTTTTTTCTGAAAGAGAAGAAATTATTCTGAGAGAAACAATGAAAGGATAGGTTAAATATTTTGAACCTGTAGCATTTAGATTCCGGCTTCTTCTTTTTAAACTGGAATTTTGATCATATTTTTAACAGGTGTCAGAGTTCATACAGAGCTTACCTGGATGTGAAGAACATGGAAAGGTATTTAAAGATGAAGTAAGTATTCCACTAAATTGCAGTATGTTACTTAAGTGGGGACAAAGCACTGAAAGGCAGTGAATGGTGAAATGTTCTAAATTGGCAGAGGAAGGAAGAGACGGGTTATGTTGAAACTGACGAAGTGATATCGAGTTGTCTAACAAGCAGCATTAATCAGTTGTATAAAAATGTGTTTGTATAAAATTAGATGCAAAGGAAATTGTGCCATTTTATTGATGCCCCACAGCAGTAGCACTAAGCTCATTATTTAACAAAACAGACACAAAACCTAAAAACATGCATTTATATAGTGTATAGCACAGAAAGAAACCAACGCAAGAAAGAAGCAACATTTCATTTTTAATAAAGTAAAATTAGTTCCCATTATTTTATTTTCAAACATCATTTTAACACCAAAATTAACTTCATTTGATGCTGATAATTAGTATTACCATTATTGCTAAAACAATCCCTTAGATCTTATACATTTCTCAGTGATGTTTATACTAACTGATATTCATTACATCTATTACCGTCTGCTGTTGGAAGATGATTTTATTAGTTGTTTTCATCTGGCTGTCCAAAACTTCAATATAAGGGATGATTAATAACGATACCACCTCTAGTGAGCATTAGGACAAAAAGGAATTCTACTTCTAACTACACTAGAAGCAGGAGACTCTTTTCACTAGAGACCTTTAAAAATAAGCCACTTGCCTGCCATCCCCTCCAAGCAGAACAGTCAGTTATCACCCTGATCTCAGAAGGTACAATGAGAACTAAATCATCTCAGAAGGCTTTGTCCAGCATCTGCTGTCTGCAGCTATAAGATACCTTGTTTGCTCCTATGCTTAGCCTCCACTGTTCAAATAGCACACTTTCAGTTAAGAACACTGCAAGAGTGTCAGCACAGCCAAGAATTGAGCCAATGTCATTATACTATTAGATATCATTTACGCTTTATGTGGATGCCTGTTAAAATGCACAAGGATCTGATTGTCATCAGCCCTTTTCTGATTTATGGTCTTACTTTCAGAAATGTTCTGTCTTCTTTCTAGTTGAAGGTCAAATTAAAGAATTTGCAGTTATTCAGATTTTGAGTTTCTGAAGGCCCAGGTGCTAGATGTCTTTGCGGGTTACTCTCAGTCGATTTTCGATCCCTGAGCAGACTTAGATTCCTGCAGGGAGCTGTTGCTGTTTCTTTGAAAGAGCCATGTAGTAACATGACCTTTGAAAATGATGAAACAATTTTAAAAATAAATTTCTAACACTTCTATTTTATAAATTCTACTTTTGGTTCTGTTGATACCTAGCCAATCCATATAGATTTGCTCTGTTATTTAGGTTAAATAAGATTCAAATTCAAATGATATGTTATTTCTTTGAATAACTTTTTTCTTCATATTACCTTTGGAGACACTCCCCAGGCACCTAATATCCTCAAAGACAGAGCCTTCTTTTGAAGAATGAGGCAATGAATGTTCTCTGTCAACATGTATCATTCATATGTTCATTCCACTATTCATTCACCCTGTGAAATCTTGTTAAATTCCTACCATTTGTATGATACTCCATGTCATGCTCTAGTAAGAGGGTTAATTCAGAGATAATAGGACATGATCCTTGCTCTCACATGTCTCACCAGGTCAGCAGGTATGGGTTTTGAGTCCTAGATGAAAATGAGAAAACAAATCTAGCTAAAGTCTTGTAAGTCATCTCTAAAAGGCAAAGTGCAGGTGTGGGCTATTATTTGAAACCATCCCAGATGACTCCTTCTCATACATACTCCGCATTTAATCTGTTGAAAACCCTATTGGATGTATTTTAAAAGCATTTAAGGGTTCCAGCTCCCTCTCCCCCCTCCACCGCTACGTGTGGTCAGAGCCACCATCCTCTCCCGCCTGGATTAAAGCAATAACGTCCTAGCCGGGCTCCCCGCTTCTATTTCTGCTCCTTTTTTTAAAATAGTATTTTATTTATTTATTTATTTTATTTTTGCCTGTGTTGGGTCTTCGTTGCTGCGCGCGGGCTTTCTCTGGTTGTGGCGAGCGGGGGCAACTCTTTGTTGCGGTGCGCGAGCTTCTCATTGCAGTGGCTTCTCTTGTTGCGGAGCATGGGCTCTAGGCAGGTGGGCTTCAGTAGTTGTGACTCGCAGGCTCTAGAGCACAGGCTCAGTAGTTGTGGCTCTTGGGCTCTAGAGCACAGGCTCAGTAGTTGTGGCGCACGGGCTCAGTAGTTGTGGCTCGCAGGCTCTAGAGCGCAGGCTCAGTAGTTGTGGCACACGGGCTTAGTTGCTCCGTGGCATGTGAGATCTTCCCAGACCAGGGCTCGAACCCGTGTCCCCTGCATTAGCACTGCACCACCAGGGAAGTCCCTGCTCCTCTGTAATTTATTTCCAGCATAGCTGGGCTGATTCTGCTACAAGATAAAGTCAAATCATTTCACTCCTCTGTTCAGGTCTTTCCGGTAGTTAAATCAGAGCAAAAGCCAAGAGCCTCACAAGGGCGACAATCTGACACCCCATCACCGCTCTCACTGCCTGACCTCTTTGTCCACTCTGTCCCCTGCTTACACTCTTCCACACACAGACCTCCTTGCCATTCCTCAGATTATCCAGGTACACTCTGGATCCCCCTCTGCCTGGGATGCTCTTCCTCTAAGTGTTCACATAGCTTACTCCACTTCTCAATATCCTATCCTGACTATCCTCCTTCAATCTGCCACCTGCCACCACACATCCATCTTAGCCCTACTGTCCACTCATCTCCCCGACTCGCAGTTTTTTCATACCACTAATCACCTTTTAGAATTAGTTACTAATTAATTTGCTTATTATGGTTTTCCTTATAGTCTGTCTCCTACTACTAAAATGTAAACTCTATAAGGAGTTTTTATTTGTTTGCTTAGTTTTGTTTTTATCTGTTTTAGTCTGAGCTATATGCCCAGGCCCAAGAATAATATCTAGACTCTACTGGGTATTTTAGTAAGTTTCTGTTGAATGAATAGACTCATACCTTTACACTCTGAGAAAGACATTCAAAGAGCACATCGCTGTGATTTGCAGAGTTACAACACTGGAAAAGAACCATGAGCACACAGTGGAAAGAGCAATGAAATGCAAGGCAAGAACCCCGAGTTCCAAATCCTCCTTCAGAGTTTTGGGCCTTTAGCAAGATACTTAATCTCTGGAGCTAGACCAGTTTATATACATTACAAAAGCGTAAACCAAAAATAAACCCAGCAATCCATTGCAGTAATTACTGTTTTCAGAAAGTACTTTCTTAAATTATTTACTCCTTTCCAGTTGAGGCTTATCCTTATGGCTACACATCAGAGCAGCTTGTATGTAATATACTAAAGTTTGGCTGTAGCCTCAAGATGACTTTTTTCTTCCCGGCGTAGCTTTAAAAATAATAATCTACCAAAACTTATCCTTCTCATCCCACTCCTAGCTTTTAGACTCCAGCCTCATTCTCTGAAATGTTCCTTTTCATCAGTCATCTGTCACTTTAAATTCTTACTTAGTCCCAGAAGAAGACTCAGTAGGGCCCAAGGTTATAATAAACCATTCCCTCTTTGTAGTGAGCTCCGTGGGAGCCCGGTATGTTGACATTTTAGTTAATGTATTAGACGACTTCTATCAGACCCTTCATTCTACCAGGGTCTGTCTGGGTTGAGTGAAGTGTTAGTAGATCTGCCTCTCTGCTTGGACTTGTTTATCAGAGACCTGTCACAGCACAAGCAAATGAGACCAAAGCAAATGTTTCCAGAAAACAATAGAACATTTCTCATAGCTGCCACTTACCTTGTCTTACACTTAGAAATTAACATTGCAGTGTCTTTACTTCTAGTTTATGACAGCAGGGTGTTTCCTTGCTGAAAATTAGCAAACTTTTTCCACATAATTGTTACTTAAAGTTGTATAAGATGACTCTTGTTCTTACTGATTAAGCATATAAGCAATTTAGATTTACAGGTTTTTATTTTTAGAGGAAAGAGGAAAATTTCAAGAAATGGCAACTTAATTACATTAGGCTTTATTTAGTGAACTGCTGACAGAATTTAGAGTAGTATTTGTTTGCTAGGGCTGCTGTAACAAAATACCATAAACCAAGTAGCTTGAACAGCAGAAATTTAATGTCTCCCAATTCTGGAGGCTAGAAATCTGAAGCACAAGAAGTGATGGCATTGGCAAGTAGCTTCCTTCAAGGTCTGTGAGGAAAGGAGCTGCTCCAGGCCTCTCTTTTTGGCTTGCAGATGGTGTTCTCTTGTTGTCTTCTCTCTGTGTGTGTCTGTGTCACAATTTCCCCTTTTTATAAGAACACCAGTCATCTTGGATTAGGGACCCACCCTACTCTAGTATGACCTCATCTTAACTAATTACATCTGCAGTGACCCTGTTTCCAAATAAGGTCACATTCTAAGGTTATTGGAGGTTAGTACTCCAACATAGGAATTTGGGAGGAACACAGTTCAGCCCATAACAGTACACTGCTGTCAAGGTTTCTGATGTCCTCTGAGGCAGAGAGCAAAAGTGTTATTTTACTTTTTGTACAAAATGAGAAGACTGAAAGAGAAGTGAATTGATTTTTTTAAGATGGTGGACTCCCCAAGAGCTGAAAATTATACAGAAAGAAGACTACTCCTTTGCTCTACCCACTGAACCAGACATCATCTTCACAGAGTTGTATCTTTGAACCTCATAGTATCGTATTCTGTAGACATGTAGACTTTTAGTCTTAGAAGGGACCCAGAGAGAGGAAGGATGCTTCTTACTGTTACCCGAGTAATAGAAGAACCAGCCTGGAGCGCACACCTCTCCCCGCCAGGCTTACATTCCTTCAGCTATACTGGTGGTTGCCATTGTTGGTTGTTAGTAATTCCTTTTCTTCTGTATTTGAAAAATAACTGTGGCTACTCTGAAAATGGATGTCATCACTGATTTTCTTTTTTTTTTTTTTTTTT